GCCCACCCACACGCGCGCGCGGTCTCTCCGTACAACACTCAAACAGTGGCAAAGTTTTTTTTTTTTTTAATGTGTGATTTTGAACAGATGTAAACAATGGCAGTAGGCTTAAAAGTATAGACGTGATACCAGCTAAATTTAATTATTGTACTAAATCGCAGAAAAGTAGGCTACAGTACGTAACGTTACTTTAGACTGCTATTCCTCACTCTGTGAAGTAACGTGAGGGAGGAAACTAGTTGACGTTAGCTAGTTAATTAGCCATGTTATCTGCCTCGGTAGCAAGCCAAATAGTATTTATTTCAACACTGAAACAAACGGCGGGTGGGTCTCTTGTCTTGATCGGGGGTGAAAGAGGGACACAGATATATATTTTATGTTCGACTTGGAAGTATTTATTTAGCGATCTGCGCTAAAGCGTCATCTGTACGGAACATCGTTGTGTACGGAACATGGTTAGTCTACGTTACTCGAAAAATTCCCATATGACAGACATCGTCTTTTTCGACGGGGGAAAAAGTTCCAGGGATTCATCTCCTTCGGCCATCCTACACACAGGGTGACTCCGCTCGCACCAACAGGAGGGGGAGGGGTCGTGTGACTCGCTACGCTCTTCGCTGCACACAAATGAGGGAGTCCTGCACTTTCCGTCTTTGACGACACGTAAAAAAACTGCGCATACCGCAGGAACGGTATAACGGAAAATTGTAGTGGTTTTGAAACCGTGACTTTTCCAACCCGCGGTATACCTTGAAACCGGTTATCGTCCCATGCCTAGTACTCACATGCTGTGACAGCCGCTTTCTGTCCGTGTGCTTTGGATGTGTGTTCTCAGAAAACCATATATCAGAAGTTTAAACTCATATGGTTTAAAACGCATGATTTCAGCGCGATAAACATAATCAGAACCAAAACAGATGTTTTTTAGCAGGTACCAGCTGTAATGGCACAGCTCTATTCTGGAAAAGGGGCGGGGAGCAGCAGCTCATTTGCATTTAAAGAGCCAGGCTCGAAAAACAGCGTGTTTCTGCTTCCACTCAAAATAGGCATTTTCAAAATGATATAATAAATTATCTGTGGAGTATTTTGAGCTGAAACTTCACAGACGCATTCTGGGGACACCAGAGACTTATATTACATATTGTAAAAAGTGGCATAATATGTCTCCTTTAAAACCTTAAAAACTATATCATGATCTTCCTTATCTTGATTTACCCATTCAAATGCTGCTTTTATCTTTGAAGAATTGGGATTCTCATGGTCTTGGAAAACCTGGATATGTGAGAAAGCCTGATTTTAATAGTTCTATACCTGGAAAAGTCATAAAAATGAACTCGATAGGCATTTTTATAATGAATATAAATTGTACCAGTTATGCAAAGCTCTAAAATTTTGTATTTTTAATATATTTAATATTTTTAATAAATAGATTACATTTTTTATGAACATTTAAGTTTTGGAATCCTGAAATGTAATTATTTTAATTATAATTATTATATCATATTGCTTTTTAATTTAGATACTGTAACTATAACTATAATAACTATAGTAGGACTGCCCATTGATTAAAATACGTTTTGGGCCTTCAAATATTAATATGGGGGCCTTGGAGTCAAAAAGGTTGACAACACCTGCTCTATGGATATCTAGTACAGTGTTTTCCAACTTTTATTTATTTATTTATTTGTCTTATATATGTCCACAGGCCCATGGATAATGTTCAGAAATGTGTTCCTCTTAAATCATACTGAATATCATTAATCATCATGAACTATTATTAAAATAGCCATCAATGTTATTAAAATATTAAGTATATTCACATACACACTGGTATAGTACAATGAAATACAATAAAAATTAACAGTATTTTAAGAAACTCACAGCTGACCCATCACCCCATGTCCAACTGTCACTATTCCTGCGGGAAATTCCGATCCACAGCCAGTGCTGCTCATGATCCTCTGCCTCCCTGCCCAAACAGAGCTGTTAGACACTGCTATACCTTTTAACAGGCCCACAAGAAGCATCCGGTTCAAAGTCTTAACTTATCTTAAACATAAACATAACCTCAAAATATTCTGTCTAGGGGTATCTGAGAGTAAAAACTGCTGAATAAAGAAAATTTTAATAATTCTCACACAAATCATGCCCTGATTCATTACAAACACACACAGTGTTGCTTTAGGGCTGGATTTTATAAATGTACCCGAAAGCCTCATGGAGGATCTGGAAGACATAGGTCTCTTCCTCTGGCGTACTGAAGCTGGCAAGCTGAGCTCCATGTTTCTGGCAGAACTTGTGAGCTTGAATCCAAGTCAATCTCTTCTCCAGTGCACCTGCATGAAAGACCTACAAAAGCACAGCGATGAGCTGACCACACATCCCAATACAGGCAAACACACAGACACCACACCAGGACTGGCCAAAATTCAAAATGTAAGAATATGTTCACTTCTTGAATTGAATGGACACACTCATGATGTTGAACTCGATTTGAAATGGAATGACAGGAATAAGAATTTACTGAATTGTAACTCAAAAACTTTTATGATTGTTAATTTTGTGATGAATTTCCAATCATTAATTATTACTTTTTATTCCCTGATATGTAAAGCCAATTAAAAGTATTCTCTTAACTGATTTTATTACTGTCAAAAAAATGAAAAATAAATAAAAAATTCATACAGCCATCAAAGAAAAAACATTTTTTAATGCATAATTTGCCTTTTTGAGCATCAGTGAATGTTTGAAGCTTTTGTAATAGTTGTGCATGAGTCCCTCAATTGTCCTCAGAGTGCAAAGATGGATCTCAAAATCATACAGCCACAGCTGGAAATCAAATATGCAGAAGATGCTGGAAAACCAAAGAATGTGCAGGAGCTGGAGGATTCTTTTCTGAAGAACAGTTTCTGAAGTGGGAAACTGCTCAGGACAAACAAGGGACTCATGAACAACTATAACAAAACACGAAAACAGTCATGAATCATCCAGGTAACAGCACAGAGTATTAAGAAAAATTAAGATTTTTTTTTTTTTTATAAAAATCAGTGATTATTTTGTTTTGTGGACTATATGTAAACATCTGTTATGTGAAGTAGCTTATTCATGACAGTACTAAATAAAAAATAAAATGCGTTTTTTTATGACCCTTTTTATTTTGTTAAAATTATTAACATTTTCATAGATTCTGCAAGGGGTCAACTTTTGAGCAGAACTGTATGTTAAACTAGAGCAATCCGGGAAAATAAATGTTTTCTTTTACCAGTTTTAGAAAATGAATGTTACTGTCAGACTTTGTTCCGTGTTTTGTGTGTGTTTTGCTCCCCATGTACCTTCCTATGCCCATATTTGGTTAGTTTCCTGTTCCTGTCCTGATTATGTTGATTTGATTCCAGGTGTTCCCCGTTTTATTTCCATTGATCCCAGGTGTGTCTCGTCCTCTCCTCATCCTGTCATGTGTTTAAATAGTGTTCCCTGTCTTTAGTTCAGCGTCCAGTATTGTACATGTCTACCCGTGTTACGTGTGTTTTCAACAAAGAAGTAATGCCGAGTTCACTGCACGATTTTCAAACTCGTCGGATCGCCGTTATTTTCACACTGCGTGACTATCTGGGGTAGCATTCAGTTGCTGCTGTGTTCACATTGCACGATGGATCGGCGACAGGGGGTTTCACACTGCATGACTTCACAATAGGAAGAATCGCCGACAGCTCTGTCTGGTCCGCAAACTACGTTTCACAACAAAACACACGCGAGAAGTGATAAGGAAATAACGCGAGAACCCGCGTGCGTCAGACCGGAGTTCTCGCGAGCAAGACTGTAATTATTTTAAAAATATATATATAGCCCGCAAATTGTCTGTGAGCTGATTTCCAGCTACAAGGAGAAAAAGAAAAACAGATTATGCAGGAGGGAGATGCAGGGAACAGGGATTGGGTGTTCTGCAAAGAGAGTTGGAGGTAAATAATTTTGCAGTAACTGTTATGCTGATGTTGTGGCTGGTCAAGCAAATGTTTGTGCTTGTTTCTGTATGATATAATTGTTCATATATCTATTAAAATACTGATATTCTGGTCTATAACTCCTCCCCGAACTTCCCTCTGCCCTGTATCTTGGTGACTCATTGGCTGTTGGTCATCGCCGATGTAATTTCGGGGATTTGTCGGCGAGTGAAAAATCGGGCTAAAATCGTGCAGTGTGAACTCAACATAAGCGGCGTCATTCCCCCGTGTTTGTTTTCTGCCTTTTGTGAAAGTTTTTTGTTTCCCAGGTTTTCCCCGCGGTATGGAAATTGCCACTCGGTTCATCGCCCTAGCTCGCCTGGATCTCCCCTTCATTGAGAATTCCTGGGAGTTCTGCAGGCTCGCCGCGGCTACGGCCTTAGTTGACTCCACCCTCAACTCGCTGTTCTGGCACGTGGCCAACTATCATCGCCCCGTGGACCTCCCAGACACCACGGGACTAAGTTGGAGGGAAGGAATCCTCCGGTGTCTGGAGAGCGTCCTGCCCCGAGCCAGAACCAGTTCACTGGCCACGGCATCGTCAAGTTCACCGGCCGCTCCGAAGTTCAGCGTGCTGGCCGTGCCGTTGTCATGCCTGCCGGCCGCGCCGAAGACAAGCCCGCCAGCCCCAGAGCTCGCTCCCGTGTCGGCTCCAGCCCCAGAGCTCGCTCACGTGTCGGTGCCAGCTCCTCGAAAGCGCCTTGCTGTGCCTGCTCCTCCAGAGCGCCCTCCAGTGCCAGCACCTCGTAATTGCTTCCCAGACCCCCAGTCAAGCCCAGGGAGGGCTCCTGATTCCCCCAGTCAAGCCCAGGTAGGGCTCCTGATTCCCCGTTAAGCCCAGGAAGGGCTCCTGATCTCCCGTTTAGCCCAGGGAGGGCTCCTGATCTCCCTTTTAAGTCCAGGGAGGACTCCTGATCCCCCGTTATGCCCAGGGAGGGCTCCAGGCCCCGAGTTCAGCCCCGTAAGTCCCCCCATGGATTTTTTTTGGGGGGGGGTAGTAAGGCTCCAGGGGCTGGGGCTGTGGCCGCGGCCTCGGAGGCGGCTCTGCCATGGCCTCCTGAGCTCCTGGCTCCGCCATGGCTGTCCGTGCTCCCTGCTCTGCCATGGCCTCCCGAGTCTCCTGATCCACCATGGCCTCCCGAGTCTCCTAATCCGACATGGCACCCCGAGCTGCCTGATCGGCCGTGGCGCCGCGAACGGGTAATGCCGTCCGCCCGGCATGTCTGTCCTGAGGGACCTCCAGAGCGCCCCCCCCCCTCCCCGTTGGATGTTGTGTGGCGCGAGGACGCGCCTTCCGGGACGGGGGAGTTATGTCAGACTTTGTTTCCTTGTTTTGTGTGTGTCTTGCTTCCATGTACCTTCCTATGCCCATATTCGGTTAGTTTCCTGTTCCTGTCCTGATTATGTTGATTTGGTGTCCCAGGTGTGTCTCGTCCTCTCCTCATCCTGTCATGTGTTTAAATAGTGTTCCCTGTCTTTAGTTCAGCGTCTGGTATTGTACATGTCTACCCGTGTTACGTGTGTTTTCCTTGTTCCCTGGATGGCATTAAAGCTTATTGGTTTGAATTCTACTCCTCGACTCTTCGCTCCTTCGTCTCCGTGCTCCACACAGTAGACCAACGTGACAGTTATATTATTAAATATATGAATTCAGTTTTCTATAGGTGACATTTCCACCATATTTAATCATAAATGTTTAAATTGTTACTATAGCATAAAAATACACATGGTTTCAAAGGAGCTTTTCAGTAAGTCATGATGTTAATTTTTATAATATCTTAATATCTTCATGCCTTAGTCACATTCAGCAGATTAGAGCTGGGCAATAATATAATTTACATTTTGCAACAATACAAGCACTTAAGATTTGCTATATATAAAGTACTGTATACTGGGATTAAAGTAGATCAAATTGGATATAATATAAATAATATATTTATTTTGATGAGCTGGGTGTTACTGAATGTCTGCGTATAAATCTGGAAATAATATATATTCAACTTTATATATAGAGCTGGATAATATTATTTTTTCATTTTGCAATGATATATATTAAATTTTAAATTACAGTTCTGCAAATTCAATTCAAATTGGAATTTAGAAGGCTTTTCAATTTTGAATGGTGCACAACTCAATACAACACAAACAGACACACCTTGTAGCAGTAGCGGAACTTATTGGTGCTTTTCCATCCCGATGGGCATGATCCTGTTAGGGAGGGCGTAGGCTGAGGCACAGGAGGACTGGGTATGAGAGAGTCCTGATTCTGTTTGCAGATGTATTTGGAGTGGACGCTGGCACAGTCCTTCACCTCCCACAGACCCATGGCTTGCCCCGCTACCATCACCACACAACCTGCCTTTATCTGTGCTGCAACACCACAAGACAAAAAGCAGGTTCATCTTTAGCATTTTTACGGCTTAGCACCAAATGATAAAGGGAATGATATATAGACACAAACTATTCAGGTGCACACATGGTCATGGCATACACACGATTGTGTGTGTTTCTGTACCTGGCTCATCTCTGTTCCAGTTGGTGTATGTGAGCTCCTCTCCCGTTATCCAGCGGAACGTGCCGGTGCTGTTGTCATTATACAAGCCGAGCCAGAACTGATCGTCAGATCGTCCAAACACCAGGCTGCTCACAAAGGCCTGCTCAAACCTGGAAACAAGCACATATGCACCTCATAAGTTACTTCATAATTCATCGATTTCGGAAAAGCTGAATACAAAGAATACACCAGTCCATGTTGCTAGGCTTGTATCCAGTACCTGTTATTAATAATGACGAGTGTAGCATTGTTGCTAGCGCACATTCCTTTTGCATCATTAAAGGTTAGAGATTCTTCTCCAACCTTGAAACAGGAAGGACTGTGCCATCTCCAACCCTGAGGAGATTCACCAGAGGGAGAGAGAAAGAAGTGTGCTATGTTATAATGCATTATATTATTCTTGCTTGAAAAATAATTCATTGGTAAATGTTTCTGAACAGTTCAGCATATTTTTTAGGCTAGTTCTTTTTTTTGCTAAATGTTAAATGCACAGTGACAACTGTGAAACATTTATGGGAGGCATAATCTGGAAATTTTCGAATTAAATGCATGAACACCAGCATAAACCAGTCTGGACTAGAAAGGAATTCATGCTGGTCTAAAAGCTGGTTCTGTCAGTAGGTGTATTTGACCTATATGAATTAAATTAATTGAAAATAATTCTCCAAAAAAAAAAAAATCACAGGAACAAAACATGCACACACACACACATGTATCCACACACGGACACCCACATTTTAAGGAATGTATCTAGACTACACGTCAGCACTTGGCAAGAGGCAGTAACGTGACCTCTCTGCCGGCTGTCTGCTTTACTGTTTAAGACATTACAGAGAGTCAGATGTGTTCTCTCATTGTCTGACAATGACAAACTCACTATGACTCCAAATTTAGCAGCCTGTTCCAAAAATGAAGATTCAATTGTTAAAAGTAGATTTTCATCTGCAGAAGGGGCTTACAATGCAGCAAAAGAACAGTGTTAATGCCTTATAAAATTGTTGAAATTTGTAAATCCAAATACAGGAAAAAAAGAGGGGGAAGATTAATAATAAATGCAATGTAGATACAGTATTGGTTCAAGGTTTTTGATTAATTAACATCATTCTGACAGTTCTACAGGGATAAAGTCTGCTGAAAAAATCCACTCTGCATTAACACCTAACACTGACTCAAACACACATATGGATGAATACCACAAAACCTCTCAAGAACATGGCTATTTCACAAAATTATACTTTTGTCATGATTATTTTTATGTTTTGCAGCATTTTCTTGAAAATTAAGCTCATTCTACATAACTGTTTTGAAAGTGAGATTTTTTTAATGTTCTTGAAGCCTCTTATGCTCACCAAGTCTGCATTTATCTGATCAAAACTACAGTAACATTAACATTAAATATTTTGCAATATTATTACAATTTAAACAATTTATAACTGTTTTCAATTTTTAATATATTTTAAACTGTAATTTATTCCTGTGATGTCAAAGCTGAATTTTCAGCATCATTATTCCAGTCTTCAGTCTCACATTATCCTTCAGAAATCATTCTAATATGCTGATTTGATACTCAAACATTAATTATTATTATCATCAATGTTTTCCATATTGTGCTCATTAATAGCTTTGTGGAAACTGATTTTTTTATATAATTCTTTGATGAATAGAAAGAACAGCATTTATTTTAGATAAATCTTTCATAACATTAGACTGTATATATTTTACTATCTCTACTGATGAAATTAATGCATACTTGCTGAATAGAAATATTAACTTAAGTATTAAAAATCTTATTGAACCCAAACTTTGAATGGTGTAATTCAATAAAAAAAATAAAAAAATTTCACCTGAAATTCTGAAATTGCTGAAAATTCACCAGTTGTTTATTTAAGCTGTGAATATTTCAATTCAAAACATTTCACACATATTTTCATAATTAAAAATTCAATAATCCATATTCACTTCTTAAGCATTCAGTCTGTTTACAAACACGATGTATAATATTTTATTTCACTGTACAAATTCGCTTCCACAGATCCAGTGGTTCAAATTTGGCAGAATATTCAGCATTGCACATCCGGGTACTGCAGGAATAGCAGTAAAGTACCGATGCATGATCTGCATCTGCTGCAAGCGGGTGTTGATGGAGACCAAACCAACAGGTAGAGCAAGTCATTCATTCACAAAAACTGATTTGCAGAAATGGAGCAAGTGGTAAGTAGAATTTATGATTATCAGGGCCAATGCAAGCACTGTTAATGCGATGCATCATTTTTTCAGTTAGCACATTTCAACTTGCTTTTTTGTTTCAAAACATTTATCATCATTTTTCTTCCATAGTCTATCAGTGTAAGTCAAAAACTGCTGAAATGATCTACAAAATGAAGTTCGAATGGGGCTGAATTAACTGAAAGAAAATTGTGGTGAAGAAAAATAAAAAGAAGTAATATAATGTATTTGAAAGAACTGTAATCATATATGAAGTTGATGAGGCGTGCATTACTTTGACTATTTATTCTTTCCCTATTTGAATTCTGTCTCATTTGTGATAACAATAACCCCCTAACCCTAAATATTCAATTTGGACACATAACTTGTCCTTTATTTGTGTTATCTTAAATTGTGTGGTTTATTGAAAAAACGTGTGCTATTACTTCTATAAGTTATAGGACTTACTTTTTTTTTGCCTGGTGGCACACAGAAAAAAACTGCATAGACCTACATTATAGGACCTGAATCTTATCTCTGACAGCAACCACCCAGAACACCCAAGCAACATGCTAAAAACATCAGAACTCTGAAAATCAGAAATTTTACAACCAAACAGTAACGCCCTGGAAACCCACAGCACCCTAGTTTCGCGTAGGTGAGAACAGTTTTCTTCAGGTAAAAAAGTAACTTAGTCAAACAGACTGTTTCCACAAGCTTTAGGGTATCCACAAGTAACCTCTGAACTCTGACCTAGGCGATGGCATCCAGGGTCACAGCTCTTATTTAACAGATGCCTATTACCAGGGTTACAGCAAGGTAACAGCAATAACGCACACACTCATTTAAAACAAAGACGGTTTCATGTAGAGCTGCTGTAGACCTGGATAAATTGGATGGAGGGATGACAGACATTAGGCAATGAGAATGAAATGTAGCCAATGTATGCATATTTCGTTTCTGTGTGCTTGTTAGTGTAACTTGGTCCATGACCTCAAACTTTTTGTCCTCGGTTAGCAAACAGTTATGAGTTATGAAGACTAGCGTGTGTGAGTCAGACTCCTCTGTTTACTGTATGCTTGTGGCAGGTCTGGGTCTACTGACCACATCTGGAGTTTTAACAGCATGACACAGCAGCGACTGTGAATAGAGTCTTTATGCAGAGAGAAAGAGAGCCACAGAAAGTGTGTAGAGGGAGAAATCCAGCTAAACAGAAGTAACAAACAGAAAACTGCAGGAGCTGCAGAGAACAAAACAAGGAAGGGTAATTAGAGGATTAAAGCTAATGAAAAAGGAAGAATGATAAAGAGGAATGAGAATCATAAGGAGAAAGCCAACAGAGTGAAAAACCAGAGTGCTTTACCCGTTTGCAGCCGTGGTCCTCTATCTGGTCGTCAGCCTTCTGAGCCACTTTCTTACAGACTGAGGGCAGCGAGTAATTACATGGGCTATCATTCCAGCGGCCCTCCTACAAACACACACATACTGTATAATGAGGGGTTATCATTATGAAGCTGCTATAAATTTAGACTTTTAGGATCACTATCTTAATTACGAGTATAAAGAAAAGCAGATTCATACCCATTAACATCATTCTGACAGTTCTATACAGATAAGGTTTGCTACAAAACACATTCTGCATTAACTCACTGTACCTTTAACTCAAACTCACATAACTTTCTCTCAAGAACATGTCTTGCTATTTCACCCTAAAATAATACTTTTGCCATGATATTCATTTTTATATACAAAATAAATTTTTATTAGTGCTATCAATCGATTAAAAAATTAACTACTTAATAGCACATTTTTCTGAAATTTACCGCAATTAATCCCACCTAACATTAAAGTTTTTAAATATACTTTTATATTGCAATAATATCACATTCAATCTTTAAATGAATGCAGAAACAACATAAAGAGAGTATATTTTTAATATTTGTTTAATGGCATCTTTTTTTACGACTGAAGGTGAGTATCACTGATATCGATACTGTTGTCTCTATGAAACAGTTTTTCCCCCTAATATTTAACCATTGACTATAGCCATTCAACATTACAGTATAATTGAGAGCTATCAATTTTAACATTTATTAGACCTTCAAAAAATAACTTCTAATTTAAGTGAACTTATAACAAACTTCACATAAACCCATTATAATAAATGTCATATTTAGCTACCTGTGCCCTCCAGCCAAGTAGGAAATATACAGAAATTGAATAAAGTTACCAAACTCTAAATTCTAAATTAAATATAGATGAATCCTTAAAGCTACAAAAGATTTTCTTCTTTTTTTTTTGTTCTTTGATTAACAGACATCACAGCAGCTGGTTATTAGGTTATTTTGGCTGCTTTAAGAGCTGCGGCTGATGAACATTACGCAGATCTGACACGCATCGTATTTTCGCACAACTCTTTACCTTTTCTGAGTCACTTCAGCTCTTAAAGTTGATGCTAATAAGATGACGAGTTGAATCGGGTGTGTTAGATGAGGGAGACAGTGCGGGGCTGCTCCAGACCACGACAGTTTTGAAAACCACTGTATTTCAGAGACATGTTCTTAAATGTGACGCATATATAACAAATACTTACATACATGAACAGTTTTAAGGCAGCTTTAATCGCCTTTTTGGTAACTTCATGACTTAATTGATGACATAACTACAACATTGCATGCTCGTAGTTTCATTTGAGATGTTGTCAGACATATGGCCTGACAACATCTTATCTGATCACAGTTCTTCTACTAAAGCTCCTTTGTCACCTGTACCTTTTTTTTGACTAGCGCCTGGCGCTGAGGTGAAGTTGGAGTGCGCACCTGAAAAGTCTCCCGTTTAATGTGGTCGCAAAGATGTTCTTCATCTAAATAAATGCAATTCAAATTCAATTTAAAAAAAGAGACAGAAGCAGCAGTTGTGAGTGGGGTGGCCAGCCCTAGCTCCACGCCTGCGTTAATTGTGTTAAATATTTTCAATGTGTTAAACTGAAAAAATGTAAACGTGCTAATTTTGACAGCACTAATTTTTATCAAATGTATTTTCATATTTTTTGCACACTATATATATTTTTCTTTTTGGCAATTAAGCTTGTTCTACACTACCATTTAAAAAGTTTGGGGTTCGGGTATGCTTATGTCACTTATGCTTATCTGTGTTTATTTAATGAAACAGTAATACTGTATAATATTATTACAATTTAACACAACTGTTTTCTATTTTAATATATTTTTAAAATGTATTTATTCCAAAGCTAAATTTTCAGCAGTCATTTCTCCGGCCTTCAGTGTCACACGATCTTTCAGAAATCATTCTAATGTGATGATTTGATGCTCAAGAAACATTTCTTATTATTATCAATGTTGAAAACGTGTTGCGGAAAGTTTTTGTTGAAACTGTGATACATTCATTTCAGGATTCTTTGCTGAATAGAAAGTTCAAAAAGAACAGAATCAGAAAAACAGAAAATTTTTAAAATGATAAATATTTTACTATCATTTTTGATCAATTTATTGTGAATAAATATGTTAATCTTTTTTTTTTTTAAGTTATTTTTGCATTTCTCCTCTTCTATAGCTTGTTTCCTAATCTAGTTGTCAAATAAACCTGGCATTGTACATTAAGAATATGTTTGGATCCATAAATTGCTTTTGTACCTCTTTAGTTCTTTGCTTTGAATAAAAGTGTATGCTAAATGCATACATGTAAATTAATGATTGTGTGGCTTACTGAAGAAAGTGCTATTAAAAAAAACGTACTGAGCCCAAACTTTTGATAGGCCTATATATTTATATGCGTATATACTCACAGGCCCCCAGATGGTGACACAATCCTCATTAACATTTCGGAAATTGTTGGGTTCAAATGGATGCCAGTAAGTGAATATGACTGGAGTGTGATCTGTCCATTCAAAGTTCATCTGCATAGCTGTATCATGTAGACCAATCCATAACTCCTCTATATCTAAGACACAGGAAAATAGAGAGTCTGAAACATCATGAAGCTTGTGCCAAATTGTATAAAATATTAAGACCTGTTGCCAGAGAATATATATTGAATTAAGTTTACTTTTACCCCATTGGCAAATTACTTTTATATTATTATGATTATTTTATGTATTATTTTAAAATAAACAAAATTTAGTGAGGGTTATGCTCGAGAAAGAAAAAACTGTTTCTTTTTTTTTTTTTACCAGAAAGACAAAAATACTGATAAAGCAAATGTGTTTCTGTATATTTATGAATGGACATTTGCATGTGTATACCTTTCTTCATATGCTTAGTGATGAATTCAAGCTCTGGGAGGGTGTGGATGCTAACAAGGTTAGCCTCCATCTTCTGACACATTTTGTGGGCAGAGCTCCAGTCCAGGTTGTCTGAGTTCAGCCTATAGCAGCCCACCTGGAAGTTTTGCCAGCCTACATTACACTGGTACCGCCTGTCATCTGCCCAGGAGTCTGTTTCACACACAGACACAGGTGAGATCCTCAAGACCAAAGCAGACTTTCAGGTAGATCAGCAGAATCCAAACTAAAAACTTCTCAGCATGCAGGAAAAACATGCAGTTTTGGGGCAAGATACTCAAATTGCATGGCTGGGCCAGACAAAGTTTACCCCTGAAATAAATCAAGTCATATTTAATCATTTAAAGAATAAGTGCAAGCAGTGGTAACATTGCTCTGTACATTTATATGTGAACCACAGACCGCAAATGTGCATACACACACTGCACACATACCTGTGGTGAAGGGGTCGAGTGTGGCATTGGGTCGTTTCTTGCAAATGTAAGGCAGAGCCACTGAACAGTCCCGGTTGTGCCAGCGACCCTGAGCATCGGTGCTGATCACTCCACAGTTTTCCTCCTCATCATAGCTTGGCATTTCTACAACACACACAAATCCATGGGATAAAAATACCTCCTTCCTAATTGAAATGCAAATGAGCTCTTCTGTGCCAAATAAAATAAAAACTACTAAGAACACTAAAGACAGCAGAACAATGAAGTAATACTGTTTTAAATGCAAAAAGAAATATACAGTCTGCTGGCCATTACTGGTTTATTTTTTGATCACTGGTCATTATCAGAGGGCTAATAATGCCAAATAAATAAATGAATAAATAAGTAAATAAATAAATAAACATATAAATTCACGACCATTCAAAAATACAGTAAAAACAACAATATTGTGAAATATTACTACAATTTAAAATAACTGTTTTCTATTTTTAATATATTTTAAAATGTATCCCTGTGATGGCAAAGCTGAATTTTCAGCATCATTACTCCAGTCTTCAGTGTCACATGATCCTTCAGAAATCACTCTAATATGCTGATTTGGTGCTAAAAATTTCTTTCTTTTATCAATGTTAAAAACAGTTTTTCTGCTTATTATTTTTGTGGAAATTGTAATTTCAGAACAACATTTATTTGAAATAGAAATCTTTTGTAACATTATAAATGTCCTACGAATGGGACTTTTTAAAATCAATTTAATTTATGTTTGCTGATTTAAAGCATTAATTTCTTCCAAAAAGAATCTTACTGATACAAAACTTTTCAACAGTAGTGTAAATAAATAAATGGACATGAATTAATGACAAAAAGAAAAATTGCAGGTCATTGATTCAATAGAAATAATTCCATTGCTATATATGAGAAGAAACTATAAATACATAAAATTCCCACAGTTATAAAGATTAAAGTTAAACAGCTGCCATTATAAGAAAATATTGACTGCAGAATGCTTCAATTGTCCAGAATGAATTATTCAGCTTTCAATAGCTGAAGCGTTAGTTGAAGTTAGCTAAAGTTTAAAAAATTGGAGTGGGTGTGGTTATATGAGGGTGTGGCTGTAAGGGGTGTGGCCTCACCTGCTTCCCAGTTTAGGTATTTGAGAGGGGCGGAGTCAGCCCACTGCCAGCCACCATTGAGATCTAAATCATTCAGGCCCATCCACAGGGTGGCGCTGTACGCAGTTAGCAAACCTGCAGTACACACATACTTTATAAATACATGCCACTGAGTTTGAAAAAAAAAAAATGAGAGTAGCAAATTCTGTCTTGTTTGTTCTACATTTACCAGAATCCTTTCTTTTTAATCCCTTTGCAAACCAAATCATTTTTAATGTAATGAATGCAAACATGTTTACATCCCTCCGTCTCTCACCGTTAATAAAGATTTGTTCCTCTACTTTAGTGATGCTGAGCAGGTCCGCTCCCTGCTGTTGGCAGCTGGTCCGTGCTTCACTCCAAGATAGCGTGGCCTGAAAGTTAAACTGGTAACAGTTATCCATCAAAGGGTTTATGTCCCAAAACGTCTCACAGTCAGTACCTTTGGAAAGAGAGAGAGATGCATTTTAGTGAGCAGGAATATGTGCACTATGATGTAGAGTAGTCTCACATTCCAGCTTCCAGACTAAAACAGTAAAAGAACGTCCTGAATTTAGCAGACCAGGTCTTTGAATGACGTGTCGAATTCACTCACTCTTTACTGAGCAGAAGCCCCAGCGCTGGTCCTTTCCGTAATCATGAGTAGTGGCACACCAGTGGAAGCCATCTTCCCTGCCCACACTGGTGCAGCTGTGGAACCACTGGCCATCGTAGAGGAAGGGGAAGTAACATGGGCTGCCATGAGAGTTTCCTTGGATGGTGTAGATTTCTATGGAGAAGAAGAGACAGAGAAACACAAGCTGCCTAACTTCCAGAAGGAATTCATGATTACCACCAGGGAAGACAGATAATGATAAATACATACAGTGCCGTATTGGAACAGTAATGACAAAATTGTTTAGTCAAGACATCTGCAAATATGATTAAAAGATGAATATGAGACAAAACTACAGAATGTCACATGTTATTATTAGCCGTTTCAATACATTCATGTTTGACCAAATAAAAAGGACAGCACTTTTAGAGTTTCTTTCCCTAATCTGATGTGAGCATAAGTATTGGAACAATTGAATTTAAAGCAACTGTAAAAGTGTAAAAGCTAATATTTAGTTGGCACTTTTAGAGTTTCGTTCCCTAATCTGATGTGAGCATAAGTTTTGGGACAATTGAACTTAAAGCAACTGTGAAAGTTTAAAAGCTAATATTTAGTTGCAAATCCCTTGCATGCAATCACAGCAGTGAGTCTGCCACCCACAGACATCACCAGACTCTTGCTTTCATCCATTGGAATGCTTTTCCCAGCCTTTAATACAGCCAACTGTTGCTTGGTTTGGGGAGTTTCTGCCTTTAAGCATAAGTATTGGGACTTAAATCTGGAGACTGACTTGGGCAATCTAAGACCTTCCATTTCTTTGCCCTGATAAACTCCTTGACTGAGCTAGGAGGGTGTTTTGAGTCACTGTCCTGTTGCAATATGAAGCACTTTCTGATGAGTCTTGTGGCATTTTCTTGAACATTGGTAGCCAAGATGTTTTTGTACACTTCTGCATTCATTCTGCTATCACCATCATTCGTTAAGTCATTAATAAATTTGAGAGAGCCTGTTCCAGAGGTAGCCATGCATGCCCACACCATGACCCCACCTCCACCATGCTTCACAGATGAGGTGTTATGCTTAGGATCATTTGCAGTACCGTTTTTTCTCCACACTTTTGCTTTCCCATCACTTAATGTCCATAAAACTGTTCCAAAATTCTACTGGCTCACCTTTGTGCTTTTTTGCAAACTCTAATCTTGCCTTTCTATGTTTGCTGCTGATCAGAGGTTTGCATCTTGCTGTGTAGCTAATGCTGTGGAAGTCTCCTGCGGACAGTAGATTGTCAGACCATCACCAACACAGATGAGTTATACTAAGACAAAAAGATAGAAAACTATATAGGAAAAACAGAGAGCACATGTCAGACTGGAGAGAGGGTGTGCAGTTGTGTTACAGTTCTACCGCTGCTGCTGTTCAGAGCTGTGGAAAAGTAGGACACAGACGCACTTCCAAAAACACTCTCAACTGAACTTTCAGAACTTACGCGGTTTCATTCTTGCAAACACACACACACACACACACACACACACACGCACACACACACTCAAGCATAAAAACAGCTCTGTGTTGGCACATATCAATGGCAACTTTCTGTCAGGAACACTCCAGAAGCGACTCTCACAGAGACCACGAAACACAGAGGTGAGAGGAAAGAGAGGGGAGGGATATGTGCTGTGGAGTGTCTGCTTCTGAAAGAGTTTAACAGTTCCGTTTCAGTTCAGTTGCCATTACACTTAATAATGATTCTGGTTCCTTAACGAATCCATTGACAGTTTCTGCAAGTTCTTTTTAAACCCCCAATAACTATATATACTAAACAAAAATGCAATTAAAAAATCATTTTCAGTCAAATATTTCAATACAGTAATTTCAAGTAGCACTAAATTCTTTTCAGAATGTGTATAACATTTAATATAATAATATTTTTAACTAAAATATAATTTTATTGTAACTAAATTCTGTTGTAACTAAAACCACAGTGTCCATCAGTAATGTTATGACCTAAAAATAAAATAAACCTAGTATTTAAAATTTTTGTTTTTTTATATATTTATTTATTTTTATTTTTTTTTGCCTTCTGAGAGGACTTGGACAACTTTTAGACAAGAAAGAAACTTCCGGAAGATTACAAAAAAATCCTCAGTCATTGTGAACCAACTAAACCCCAATTTAACTACTGTAGAGTAATGAATGACTGTGATTTCACATCTAAATTAGTCACTCTGAGACAGATTGTCTGATGGGACTCAGACTGAGAGACGACTGGGCCTCAGCACTGTATAAAAACACTGGCCAGACTTTTTAATTGGCTTCTGTTTTGGTCACTATCCAATCAGGACAAATTTAGAGTTGCCCATGGCAAAAACATCCACACGCGGAAAATCCTAGTCTAAATATCACTGAGGCCCAAAAGACATTCCTTGCCCTTTGTTTTTTTTTTTGTTGTTTTTTTATCAATCCTCTCTCAATCCTTTTCTCATTTCTTCTTTCCACAATCTTTAATTTCTATGTTTTCTATAACACTGCATCATAAAAATGTGTGACAGTGACAAGCAATTAAAAACAAGTGACACGACTTTGGTTTCTTTGCCCCACCCGCAATGCAATCTTATTGGTACAAAATTCTTCTCCATATAACTGTTGTAAAAAAGGCCACACACAGGTTATATTCATGTGTCTTAGTTTCCCTTGCAATACACTACAGTCGACTCAGACGCAGCATCCATCCTGCGAGCCAATCAGCGCTCCGGGCAGGATGCGCAGGTCAGCGGTCCCGCCCACTGAACTGAGTTAGAACGATCGGGAAAGCGGACGGATGCTAGCAGTACTGTAGCGATTTATCTTTGCTAAAGTTGTGTGCGTGCCTATAAAGTAAGTAACAGTCTGTTCATCCTTTCCAGCAACAAGAGGATAAAATCGCTGTTTTTGAAGTAAACTCACTCTAAAAAGAGAAACGCACAGATGCGCATACACGCAACTTTCATCTCTCTGCCTCTCTCTCTCTCTCTCTCGAATTGGCAATATTTGAGAAAAGGGTTTAGCGATTTCTAATTATTGGGGGGACTAGCCCCCTTCAATATCTATGGTTATCGTCCTGATCAGACTTGAAAATATGTTGTGGTACTATTGTAAAAAAGGCCACACAGGTTATATTCATGTGTCTTAGTTTCCCTTGCAATACACTACAGTCGACTCAGACGCAGCATCCACCCCGCGAGCCAATCAGCGCTCCGGGCAGGATGCGCAGGTCAGCGGTCCCGCCCACTGAACTGAGTTAGAATGATCGGGAAAGCGGACGGATGCTAGCAGGTACTGTAGCGATTTATCTTTGCTAAAGTTGTATGCGTGCCTATAAAGTAAGTAACAGTCTGTTCATCCATTGCTTTCTGCATTGTTTGTGAACGTTTAACTGCTCCGAGTGTTTATAAGTTAATGTATGCGAGTGACAAAGACGACCTAGCGTGGAAGATGTTCGTGTGTGTTTACATACTAGTTTCCTCACATATATTACCGTTATGTTTAGAAGACATAATCTATCTGCCATTTAATCATCATATGGTTTATTTAATATATATATTTAATATGTATCGCTCATTTCTGAGAGTTAAAGCACTCTTTTGGCGCATGCGCACTAATGTTCTAGAGTCTAGACAGAGCTGCTCCATCTCTGTCCTCAGCACTGAGAGGTGTCAGATTTCAACTGCTCATTATTAGTAATTTCTAGCAGCGCATCTTCCCTTATAATGACACATTTGTTTTCTTATTTGAATGTTTAATCACTGTATTTAATATATTCTTTGTGCAAATATTGTTATTATATTTATTGTGACCACTGTTATTTGTTATTTGTACTTACATATTTTTATTTTATCTTTAATTTGTAGAAAACCACACAAACATGAAAACCGAAATGTCTTCAGTGTACTGAGTTTGTGGTGACAATAAATGGGTTATTCCCGCATACCTGATCATCTGTGGTAAAGTCTCTAACCGGACGCTCTGTAGTGGGTTTGTTATCAACCGGCAAATTAACAACCAGGAAGAAGAGCTACCAGTAGCCATTCCTTTTTACAACTGTACTCTACCATTTCAATTTTTTTTTTTTAAAGAAATGAATGCTTTTATTCAGAAAGGACTCATTATATTGATCAAAAGTGACAGTAAAGACATTTATAACTTTACTAAATATTTCTATTTCAAATAAATGAAGCGCTTTTGAACTTTCTAGTCATCATATAATCCTAAAATGAATGCATCATGATTTCCACAGAAACATTAAACAGCAAAACTGTTTTCAACATTGATAATAATACAAAATGTTTCTTGAGCATCAAATCAGCATATTAGAATGATTTCTGAAGATCATGTGACACTGAAGACTGGAGTAATGATGCTGAAAAATCAGCTTTGTCATCACAGGAATAAATTACAATTCAAAATATATTGTAAAGATATTAAAATAGAAAACAAATATTTTAAATAGTAATATTTCACAATATTACAGTTTTTGCTGTATTTTGATCAAATAAATGCAGCTTTGGTGAGCATACAAGACTTCTTTTTCAAAAACATTAAAAAATCTTACCACCCTAAACTTTTGAAAGGCAATGTATATTAAACATCAAATAAACGCTGACTGGATGCAATTCCTTTTAGTGTGGACAAGCAAATTACTGGTTAAGATATGAGAAAGAGAGAAAGAAACAACATTTAATGTGCTGACCTCGGTACGACTTGGCACAAAGGTCTTGATGGTCATCATAGACTCGCCACAGAGACTTTTGGGAGGGGGATCTTGCAGGTGGGAAGGCAGCGGCCGAGACATTGCCAGTGTCGAGGAGTAATTTAGGGGAGGGCAAGGAAGATTCAAGCATCTCCAAGAACTTGCTGCAGCTCCAGGTCCAGCGCACTCGTGGAGGCTCGTAGTCGCACCAAAACACGCCCAGTGGTGACTTGTTGCCAGATGTGCTCACGTTGCCCGTGGTGATGCCCAGGCAGAGAGAGGAGCCAATGTTGAAAAGCCGCCCCCTGGTCACCCATTTCCACAGCTGGGCGTCACCCTTGCAGGAAGAAGAGAGGTAGAGCATGTGATCTCGTACCCCCAGGCAGCCCTGCGCTCCCTCGTGGAAAAACGCAAAAGTGTCCGATTCATCTGTCTGTGCTGTTGCAGAAAGATAAAGAGAGAGAATAGTTATTAGCCTGACATTGTACAAGAGAAATTTCATAATCCTGAAATCGTAAATATGGAAAAATCATTAATGTTTGATTCCAGCCTAGACATTTATAGAGGTTTTTAATGATTTTACCCACCATTAAACCAAATGATTGATCCTACAGAGACAATTTCCATCAAACTCTCAATGTCATGTGACCAAAACGGTTTTTGTCTCACAGCTATTCTCATAGTATATTATTACTGCAGTAGAATAAGCAAAACCCTTTTGATTCTCTTTCACCAAAAACAAGTAGTTCTTATCCAACACAAGCAAAGCACAAATCCTATTCAAACAATCCCACAAAACGTTTTTATGTGCTTTGACTTGCCTCAGTTGTAAAACAGTGATTTTGACCAGGTGAAAAGTAATTGTTTGAGGGAAATCTGCAGTTTCATGTTATCATATTCTGTATGTGTGGCTTTCATAATGGCTGCTCTCTATGGTATAATATGGTCTGCAAATTGAGCTTTTCATCTGTTTTTCTCTCTGCATGCTTTGGTTTTGGAACACATATGTCTGACTGCAAATAGATAGTAATTTACAAAAACAAAACAAAAAAAGCCCAACAGAAACTGCCATGAGAGAATACAGACAATGGCAATATTCCTCTTTTGTGTGAGCAAACACATTTATCCCAGTTTCATCATAACTGCACCCATCAGTGGCTTGTGGTGGTCTTCTGAATCTATGTCTTCTACATATATACACATGCTCCATTCAAGATTATGGGGTGAATAAGATTTTTTTTAAGAACTCTCTTATGCTCACCGAGGCTGCATTCTAAATAACTTTATATTCCTTTGCAACATTATAAATGTCTCCACTTGCACTTATGACCAATTCAATGTATCCTTGCTGAATAAATACATTAAAGCAATGTCACGTCAAAATCTCAAAAAGTGTGTTTTTAAACGACATTGTTTTATTACTATAAGATATAGTAATAAATAACTTCTCACAGATAACTATTTACAGTACTTTTGATTTTAACATGACTGAAAGTGATGATATCTGAGTGGGTGAGTTTTTTCCGTTGTAATTATTCCATCCATTTTTATTGGTTTAACCAGTTAAAGGGGTCATACGATGCAATTTCAAGTTTTCCTTTCTCTTTGGAGTGTTACAAGCTGTTCATGAATAGATAAGATCTCTAAAGTTGCAAAGACTAAAGTCTCAAACCCAAAGAGATATTCTTTATAAAAGTTAAGACTCGCCACGCCCTCCTAAAACGCCTCGTTTAAACACGCCCCCACATGTCTACGTCACTGTGTGGGAAGATTTGCATAACGCCGCCCAACAGTTCATGCAAAGAAAGAAGGCGTAACTTTATTGTTGCTACCACCACCGCCACCATGTTGTGAAGACACTGTGTGTTTCGTTGCGAAAGCGAAAAACACATTTCATTACACCAAATACACAAAATAATGTTCTTTTTAGCAACATCATATGACCCCTTTAATTACTGGTGTCAAACTTAATTTACTGGTGTCAGTGAGTTTAATCTCATATTTTGCAATGTTTGTTTTGTTTTTGTACTGTTGATTATTTTCTTATCCACAGGATACTCACATTTCAGTAAGAATAACACATATATTGGTATTTGACTAGGTATATGTTGTTTAGTGAGAGAAGGAAAGGGAAAAGAGATGGCTAGTATGACAGTCAAGTAGAAGGCAGAAGAGCCAAACCCGGCAGCGTTCCCAAACACCAGTCTGGTTTCTTTTCATACTTTCATTCTGCTTTTCTCTCGCTTTATCTATCTCTCTCGTACACCCTCTCATTCCTGCAGGGGTGAATGCAAGGTTACAACCACAACATCAGAGAGAAAGAAAATCAGAGCAAAAGAATGAGATAGAAAAAAGAGCCTGAAGAAAGACCAGAGAGAAACACAGCTGTGTTTCCAAACAGAGTAGTTCTAAAGCAGGGAAATGCGATTAATCCAAAAGCAAACAGGACCTTCTCTACTTTGAAAACAAAACAGAGACAGAAAGTTGACTGAGACCCTGGGAGACTTTCTGAACATCATCAAGCAATGCCCAAACATAAATTTCCATAAGTAAGTATGCTGTCAAAAATGTTAAGAAGTTCTGTAACAATGTAAAATATAGTAAATCAGTGTTATTTAATTAACCCTCATGTGGTGTTCGGGTCCTTTTTGCTCTGAAAAATTTTTCTTTTTCCCGAAAATACTAGTTAATGTCATCGCATTGGACTGAAACAATTTTTTGAGGCCGGGTCATTTTTGACTGGGAACACCACAAGTGCAATATAATATAGCATAATGAGTGATTTATAAGCAATTTTTTGAGGCCGGGTCATTTTTGACTGGGAACACCACAAGTGCAATATAATATAGCATAATGAGTGATTTATAAGCAATTTTATGAGGCCGGGTCATTTTTGCTCTGTAACCTCGTAAGTGTGATAGGGTTCTGAACACAACACAAGGTTAAAGGTAAATATGATGTGGCTCCGAAAAGCATTTTGGACTGTTACCAGGATCTGGCAACAGAACATGGAAAATCCTAGATCAAGTTTTTAACACGTGAGATGTAAAATAAAAGTTGAAAATGTGAGCAAATGTAACTAGGAAAATTCCTTCCATGAGGTCCTGATTCCACTTATTAATGACGTGCAATCCCTGACAAACCGGGATTAAAACAAGTCTTTCCATCTTCCTGCAGAACAGCAGAAGAATTTGAGGGCATCATGTGATCTGACTGAGACTGTCATATAATTGGTGGAGGTAAGACCCTGGGGAGACATATTTCAGGAGGAAGGACATGCGCCTTCACACAAACATCAAATACTTTCTCTCCATTTCTGACAGATGAAGGGCAAAGCAGGCACAAGCATTTCATGAGCATCATCTTAATACCTTCATTATAAATCAAGCCTTTACTTAAATGACTAATTAATAAAAACAAAAAGATGAATGACTGTTTCAGTATAATAAGAATGTATGACCACAAACTCTGATCAGAATATTCCACCTTCTGATGATGAGGTCAGTTTTTAATTTGATAAGGTCAGGAATCATTTTCAGATTTAGTCTGAAACTATATACATATATAAAATAATCATGATCAAATAAAGGACACTTACAACTACATATTCATAAAAATCAACATCACAATGCCCTAAGGTCGGTTACTTAAAACAAGGTTGCTGCAAGGGAATCGTTGCTTTGAATAAAAGCATCTGCTAAATGACTACTTACTTCCAGAACTACTGCATAACACAAAACAGAAAAAAAAAACTCACAACAACCGCTGCAGGATGTCAGTAAATAATGCATTAAAGAGCATGAAGTGATAAATAAAAATACAAGAGACAGATTGTAATGTAAAGTGTCTGCAGATTAGCAGTGGTTGTGTGATTGAAGAGAAATTAATAGCTTTGGGTGATTTGTCTGAAGTACTGTTAGAGCACTGAGAGGCAGAATATCGTCCATTAGAAGCTTGCCGGACAGTTATTGAGTAGGCTGACAGCTTACAGGAAGGAACTTTTTTCAGCCTGTGGTTTTGGCATGAATGCTCCTGAACCACCTTCTTCCAGATGGTAGAGATGAGAACATACCATGGCACGGATGAGGCTGCGCAGCTAAATGAATTGTTTTTGCAATCACTGGTTACATAATGCTGATGATGACACTGATATGACTAGTGTGGGTGAAGTTTGTCTCTTCATCAGAGTCTGTGGAATGTTTCCTATTAATTGTTTTCTTAAGGTTTAAAGTGGGCTTAGGCACTGTTAAAACAGGCCTGATTCAAAACTTGCCATCTGAAACAGTTACCACACAAACACCAACTCAGAGCTGCAGGCTAGCTAACACGGGAGAGATTGCTACGATAATGATATTCCACCTCGGGCAATAACCAATCGATTGCCTGAGTAAAAAATGTTGTTATCATAGCAATTAGCTATGTTCTGATATGTTATGTGCAGGGTGGCTGATATAATGCTAATATATACAGTTATACGTGTTGGGGGGTAACTAGTTACATGCAACGGAATTACATAATTTAATTACAAAATAAAAGTAATTGTAATCAGTTACAGTTACAGTTACTGAGAAAAAAATGTGTAATGAAATTACAGTTACTTATGAAAATGTTAAGGATTACAAAAGGGGTTACATCTGCTTTTTTTCACACGCACACCCACATACAAATTTAATTGATTTCTTTCATAAATTGCAGTGACTGCTCTAAAATATGAAACACCAATGTTTCAGGAGTTTAGAACATGCTTGTGCAATAACTCTTTTATTTCCTATATGGGTTTATGTATAGCTATGCTTAATTTTTTTAAGATTTAACTGTTTTTTTTTCCAAGGCATTGTCAATATTTTATTAGCTATGATACCGTTTTTTAAATCAAATCTTTACATACGTGTTTACTGTCATAGCTATGTAAAGATTTGATTTCAAAAGCGGTATCATAGCTAATAAAATATTTATTGTTATGATTTTAAATATGTATTTAACCTCAGAATGATCTCAAAGTCTGGTTTTGTAGTGGCTGTACTTCAAAGGGGACATTGATCTTCCACAAGTTGGTATGATTCTTTAGGGTCTTCATGAACGGTCTGCAACGTACTTTGGTTAAAATTCCTCTGTGGTCGTGTAAAACACCCTTTTTACCTTGCTCTGTTCACAGCGACTCGTTTTGGGGCATGTCCGGTCTGCAACATACTTTGGTTAAAATTCCTCAGTGGTCGTGTAAAACAACACCCTTTTTACCTTGCTCTGTTCACAGCGACTCATTTGGGCAAAGGGCATGTCCCTTTAAATGCTAATGAGCTTTGCTCACCCGCCCCTTTCTTCCTTGGAAGAGCAAAGGCGATTTGCAAATAATCATAAAACATATATAGTGTCAGACTTACTTCATCTGGAGGTGCAGCTGGATCACGAACAATGGGTACTGATCTATCCTTGAGTTT